ATAGATTGATTGATCTATGAAAACGGTTCAAAGAAATGAATGAATTTGTGGATAAAGTCACGTTATTAAATTGATATTTGTATTTCGTGATTTGTATTATTGTTTTTTAAACATTTATAAATGTATTTGTATTCAAGTAAATGTGATACATTGAAGTATAATAAAATATATAATAATAAATATTGGTGATGAAAATGAACTGGAACAATAACAGTTACTAGTTAGCAACAATATAGAACTTTGTACATACCTACGTACGTACGTAGGTGTATCAGTTCGAGTTGCCATATCACATTAGCACAGAGATACAATTATCGATTTAAATCCTATATTTTGTAGAGGTAGTGAAAGTTATAAGTAGTAATTGGTTAGATTAAGGATTGAAGATGTTCTTGAAGGAGTATAATCTAGGGACATGAAAAATTCAGAAGATTAGAATTTAGAAGAACATAAAGAGTGGATGCACCTACGCATACTATTGCAAACGATTTTGAGCCATGTTATTCAAGATCTCTAAACATTAGTTGCTATCGTCTTGCAGACCTCAGTCAGGTAGTTTACACCTACCAACATGGCCCAGTCCCCTTGACAGTGATTTTATGGATTTGTGACATGTTGTGGTCTGGCCGTCCATAGATTTCTTCTAACCTACTCCTACGACATAAAACATCACTCGTCGCAGCAGTCGGTGGTTGGGCATACGTAACACATGTCCCAGCCATCTCATCTGATGAAATTTCACTACTTCATCAATTGATTTGCCATCCTTACCTAGTAGAACCCGTTTCCTAACAACTGCAATACTTACTCGATAGTACCACGATATACGAGCAATGCTCTGCAGACACATATGATCGAGTACTAATAACCTACGAATATCCTCTACTCTTACCAGCCATCTTTCACAGTCATAAAGTAAAACGGAACGAACTGCTGAGCAGTAAACACGTCCTTCGGTTGATAGACAGATATCTCGAATACGCCATAAATGACGCAAGTTGGCAAAAGCTAGTCGAGCTTTCTGTATCCGTGCTGAGATTTCGTCACACACCAGACCATAAGGGCTGATGAGACTTCCAAGATAAGTGAAGCGGTCGACACGCTCAACTACTTCACTCTCTATCACTAGTTAGGGTGGCGATGCAACCCAATCCCGAAGCAACATTTTGCATTTCGAGGGAGAGAATCGAATACCGAACATGCCTGCATTGTTGCTTATAATGGTCAGCAGACTCTGCATTTTGTCAGCGTCTTCACCAAATAGAACTATGTCATCGGCATACTCTAAGTCAACAAGTGAATTTTTCGGTAGAAGTTCAACCCTTGGAAAGTCAGATGTGCAAAGTGTTATCTCTAAAAGCACGTCAACGACAAAATTAAACAAGAATGGAGAGAGTGGACAGTCCTGACGCAAAATACTTCGGATCCGTTAACCCGACAGTATTAGCAACAACCTACTGTGGGAGAGAACAAACCAGATTCCAGCGCAGGAAGAAGTGCTGGAAGTTTATAGGACACATATTGAGGAAAGCACCCAACTGTGTCACTAAGAAAGCTCTCACAATGCCAAAGGAGAAGAGGAAGAACAAAGAACACATTACACCGAGAAACGAAGACAGACATCAGATGAATAAACAACCATTAGATAGAACTAGAAAGGAAGGCCCCAGGTATAGTGTGTGTTTGAGAATGCTGGTCGGCCGCCTATGCTCCAGTGGGAGTAACAGGTGTAAGTAAGTAAGTCAAATATGGACTTGAATTTACCATCAAATTTATAGATAAAAAAAGAAGTCCAATGCATGAAATCTACAGATCGCCTACATTGTGGGTTATCATTAAAATAATATTACGAATCATACTTTGAGAAAACATTTACCAAACTACTAACAAGAATAGAATAAACAATACAAACGACGTTTTTCATTTTTTGGTTTCTCCTCATCTGCTTATAGTCAGATTCATACCGAAATATATCATACAATGAAACAATTACATAATATCAGTATAAGGATTTATGGACATTGTAGCATCTTCACAAATGGATCTAAGCTAAATCATCATTGAAAACTTGAAAGCACTGAATGACTGTTTCATCTTACCGTCGTATGGCGGTTCAATGATCTTAAGCGTTCACGTGCAACATTGGAGGTCCTAGTTCGAACCCCACATATGAGATGGCCGATGTACACCGCTAAGGAATCCCATACTAGAATGAAACAACCATCCAGTACTTCCAGATGTTCAATAGTGATCTAACTTACATCGATTCATGAATTTAACTGTGAAAATTACACAATAATCATACAGAAATTGAAAAGATCATGATTATCATTTTAAATACGCAATAAATGTGAATCAGATTATGTAAGAATAAGTTAAAATAGATGCATTGAAATTACAAGAAGTCAAAAGAGGTCATCATTATAAAACATTGATAAACTGGATCAGATTGATTACGTAATACTTAATTAGAGAAAAGCTTGTAATAGTTTATGAACAAACTAAGTCAATCAAAATCACGAGTGAAGATTACATAACCAATTGAAAATATAATAATGATAATAAAAGATTTTAATTAGAGAGGGGTTTTGTGTAGATGATAGTAATTCATTGAATCAGTTTAAGATAGACTACCATGGAAAACCTGGAAATACTGAACAGTCGTTTCATGTTAGTATGGAACTATTGAACAGTGTGTGTATTCACGATGCTGCTCCCTTGAGATTTGAACCCAGGACCTATTGGTTCTAGACTATTGAGTCAACATTAAACAGTGAATGAAATGGTTATTCAATGTTTTCAGGTTTTCTATGATGTTCTTAGCTTCAATTAACTCAATGAATTCAATTATTAAATTACTACTATTTTTTTATTGTTATTTGAACACATAAATATTGGTACAACGAGGAACCAAATAAATATGCGCCACACAAATTTTCGTTTTATTTGTGTGGGCTGTGATACTGCCCGCGTGCCAAAACCGAAGCAGGTGGTTTTCTTAAGAGGCCACACTCGGAGCCATTGACCTAAAGCTCTAACCAACAAGGTAGTGGGGCATCGCAAAGAGATGCAGTCCCATGGTAACCGGTGACCAACGATTGGTTCATACGCCATTTGTTCCTTCAGGATACTGGAACCCATGTGCAACATTGGTTTGGGATCCGGTCAAAGCGCCGGACATTCGCTTTACCTTCTCTCATTTTCGTAAACAATAGTAACGCCACGAGAAGGCAGTGAGTAGGACTTCCCTGGCAGAGGCTGTATACGCGTGGCTATGTGGGAGCATTTCGAGAGGGAGAGCGGGCCCACCCCACTCTCGGCCATACCAGGGCATTTTGGGGCAAAATTATGAGTTTGACTGAGAAATGTCGCTTTAAGTAATGTATAAATGTGTTGTATCATTTTAACTAGTAATTATTTTGAATGATTGATCAATATCAATGATACACTACTAAGTGTTGATTAGATGATAAGTTATTGGACTGTTTAGAACTGGGGCAACGATCAATTTCAAACTCTTTGGACTATAGAAATACAAGCATGTACACATTTTATTGTTCTTTCAATGTGTTGGTGGACATGGAGAGTTCACCTAGGGGAGTTGGAAAACCCTCATTCCAAACCAATGGTACACATGGGTTCCAGTACCCTGATGGGACAAATGGCATATGAACCAATTGTTGGTCACCGGCTACCATGGGACTGCATCTCTTCACGATGCTTCACTACCTTGTGGGTTAGAGCTTTAGGTTAAAGGCTCCCTAAGAAAACCATCTGTTTCGGTTTTGGCACTTGGGCAGTATCACAACCCTCGCACAAATCAAATGAGATTTGTGTGGCGCATATGTATTTGGCACCTCTTTGTACCAATATCTTATTCTTTCAATGTATATAGTTTGGTATAAACATAATCACTTCCGTATTCACCTTCATATACTCTATATCTATCTTAGATTGACTGTAGACGTGTTTATTCCCTCAGTAGGCTTAAGATAACGAACTTATTTCCAAACTATTGGATTCAACTATTAGAAGAGTATTGCAGATTTGAACGGATGAAACATTAAAAACCGCAAAAAAAGCCCGTTATAAATTAGTTTTAGGATTTCAACAGTTGTCTAGCAAAAACTAACTTATGATGTCAACAACCTCTCTAAAGTTATCTAAGTCAAAACAATAAGAATGACAATCCTTGAAATGGAAAAGATATAGTATTTTCCATACTCACAGCATTTACGTAACTCATCTTGTCGATTGTTTTTTTTAATTCCAGGAATCTTATCTAAACCTCACTTGATTCATCCATCATTCATTCCTTATGTTTGTTTTGGATTCTAACATCAAATGACCCTCCGGCCTGTTCTTGCACATATATACATATAGTTACTATTGATAACCTTAGTCGTTTCAATTCTTTTCATTCATATATGTTAATTGTTGGCAACCAACACCAAGGTCAGAATTTTCAATACAAATGTGAAGACAGTTCTACTGTATGGGGCGGAAACCTGGAAAATTACGAAATCCATCATCCAGAAGAAACAGGTGTTGGCCGGACACAATTAGCAACAACCTACTGTGAGAGAGAACAAATCAGGAAGAAGCACTGGAAGTGGATATGACGCAAATTGAGGAAAGCACCCAACTGCGTCACAAGGCAAGCCCTCATATGGAATCCTGAAGGCCGAAGGAGGAGAGGAAGACCAAAGAACACATTACGCCGAGAAATGGAGATAGACATGAGAAAAATGAACAAGAATTGGATGGAACTAGAAAAGATGGCCCAGGACAGAGTGGGTTGGAGAATGCTGGTAGGCGGCCCACGCTCCAGTGGGAGTAACAGGCGTAAGTAAGTAAGTAATTGTTTCACTATATATATATATATATATATATATATATATATATATATATATTGCCTTAATGTTAACATTCAATACATATATGATTATAGGCAGCTGATGAGAAACCACGACATATAAGAAATTAATATTATACTTTACCTTTTGTTGTCTGAATCATATTCATATTGTGAACCCATTTTTGAACTACAGCGTAACTTCCACCAGTTTTTGAATTGATCGCCACTTCAGCTCGTTCATCAGGATCTGCCGGATTCTCCGTGCCTTATTATCAAATAAAATAAACATTGGAGATGTTATGTTTTAAGCAACTTAGTGATAAGTAACTGATGAGACGTATTTATTATGTATAAGCTTATGTAGTCGATACTGTGCTAAATTTTATGCATGAACGTCAGCGATATTTTTCATCTGTTTAGATAGGAGTGTTCTAAATAGTAAGTTACTGTAAGGATTGGCCTACCACAGAATACATGATGTCAGAACTGGTAATCAGGACTACAGTTACATGGATTCATCTCAATATTAATTTAATTTAATGTGACGACAACAGTCAGTCAGCTGCAACGTGAGACCAGGTACATATATACATCGGTCCAAGTTGCCATACCGCATTAGCACAACAAGATCAACACCGGATTCATAGAAGTAGTCGCTTCAAAGGTAGTAATGTATAAAAGAAAGATTGCGTACAAGGAGATAGTACAGAAAAAAAGAATTAGTTGGTAGAAAGAAAGATATCAAGTGATTTTAATCTCCTAGTTTAAAGGAAGACAGAGGGTGTATACACCGACGCCATTGTGATCGATTCTGAGCCATGTCATCAGGAGTCTCCAACCATTGGTTACGATAGTCACGCGGACCCCAACCAGGTAGGCTGCATTTACCAACACGGCTCAGACCAGAAGTTAGTGACTTCAAGCACTGATGCCACGTTTTGGTTTGGCCGCCCCTAACTTTCTTCCAATCATCCCTAACACCGGTTACCATTGCGCGTCGTGGTAATCGGTGTTCAGGCATACGCAGCACGTGGCCCAAACATCTCAGTCGATGAAGATTCATAACCTCATCAACTGACTTACCATCATTCCCTAATACCCTGCGTCTAACCTCACTATTACTTACCCGGTGATCCCAGCAGATACCAGCAATATTTCTAAGGCACCTGTGGTCAAATACTTGTAGCTTACGAGTATCTTCTACTCTTAAAGGCCATGTTTCGCAGCCGTATAGTAGAACGGAACGAACTGCCGCGCAGTATACTTGTCCCTTAATTGATAGACGGATATCTCACCTTCGCCATAGGTGACTTAAGTTGGCAAACGCCAAATGAGCTCTTCGATTTCGTCAGACATCAACCCATTAGGGCTGATCAGACTTCCAAAATAAGTGAAGTTGTCAACGCGTTCGACTACTTCACTCCCTATCCTTAGTTCAGGTGTTGACGCAGACCAGTCCTGAAGCAACAACTTGCATTTGGAGGGAGAGAAGCGCATCCCAAACATTCTGGCATTGTCGCTCAGTGCTACCAAAAGACTCTGCATTTTATCAGCGTCCTCACCAAACAGGACTATGTCATCTGCGTATTCTAAGTCGATAAGTGGTGTGACGACAACTGTTTTTGTTATATTAAAACTGATGGTATTACTGTATAAGAACAATGGCTACTGGTTCTTTACTTAAAATCCGATTAATTTTGATTGAACTAAATGATGGACATAGACACACAAAGTATAAAAACTGACTAATCGTATGATTCAATGTAACCTATTCTAATCTATTATTTCAGTTAATCCGTTAAATATGCCAAACTAATTTGGGTTATACACATGGTGTGATAACTCACACTCAGTCAAAAGTAAATATTTATCACGTAAATCTAGTATACAACATGTAGATGAACTAAGGTTCAGTTCAGTTGTTTTCTTCCATTATAACCTTATTTCAAGTGACTTTCATTCATTTAAACAAGGTGTGGAGGATGAGATCCTTCTACGAAGATTGAAAGTCATACATTTTGTCAAATTACGTCATATTTGGCGATGTTGAGGTTATTTCTGCTGAAAAATACCGGGTAAACATCAAACAGATGAGAATTCTGTGTTTCACTTGTGAAGCCCGCAAATGACCTGGTACGACCGAAGGTGGGGACAGTAAGCTCTGCCTCCCAAAATGTCCTTACTTGGCCACGCGTATACAGCTACCGCCAGGGAACTCCTACTCACTGCCTTCTCGTAACGGGCGACGAAAAGCGAATGTCCGATGTTTTAACTGGGTTGGTGAGAACGGAGGGTCTACCTAGGGGAGTTAGAGGACCCTGATTCCAAACTGATGGTGCACGTGGGCTCCAGGATCCTGAGAGAACAAATGGCGTATGAACCTATTGTTGGTCATCGGCTATCATTCGACTGCATCTCCTGACGTTTATCCACTGCCTTGTGGATTTGACATCTAGGTCAAAGGCTCAACGAGCGACCCCTAATAGAACCACGTGCTTCGGTTTGGGCGCCCGGGCAGTATTCCAGCCCTTACACAAATCAAATGATGAAGTGGGGCTCATCTATTTGGTGTCTCCGTGTACCAATGTTTATATAATTAAATAAATAAAATTTTACTTATGAAACATACTTCTTCTAAGCCAAGGATGTTAGTGACTCGGTGAGTTCCATTACTTCTTCCCCTGAAGACTTGTTTACATTTGATAACTAATGTCCAGATCCAACAACGTGTTTGATTACAGTGAGGACAATTCAATTGATTTCGCCTTATTTGAAGATCGGTTTAGATAGTATCGGCATTTTTTACAACCTATACATTAAGTATTATTTTCCGACAGCGGTACGGGATGGAATAATTAAAGAGGGAACGAGTTTATGATACGGCGCTGCAATACTGAAGATAAACATACGCAACTTGCAGCTACTCGTCCATCAACACCACTCCGTGTATATGGTCCTAACAACCATGGTATCTTAGTGGTGTGAGACGTTATGAAATATAACTAAGAATACAAAGCATTGTTGAGCTAAACCCAAATACCTTGGTATAACTAATAATGTAGAAAGTTTACTGTGCCACTCAAAACTCAGTGAAAAAAAGAACACATACATGACCTTTCAACAAGGAGTTCTACTTTTATCTTCCATGTAATAATACATGTATTCTTAAAATTAGGAGGATGAAGGTAAAGATCTGACGTTTAAACTAAATAAAAAAATGATAATACATACTTCGTAAAAGTATAACCGTTGAATCTTTGTTCTACAATTTAGATTAGGAACGAGAACTACAACTAAATCACATCCAGTTGTAAATATTAATCCCAAATGCCCTGGTATGGCCGAGAGTGGGATGGGCTCGCCCTCCCTCTCGAAATGCTCTCACATGGCCACGCGTATACAGCCTCTGCCAGGGAAGTCCTACTCACTGCCTTCTCGTGGCGTTACTGTTGTTTACGAAAATGAGAGGACGAAAAGCGAATGTCCGGCGCTTTAACCTGATCCAAAACGAATGGTGCACATGGGCTCCAGTATCCTGAAGGAACAAATGGCGTATGAACCAATCGTTGGTCATCGGCTACCATGGGACTGCATCTCCTTACAATGCTCCACTGCCTTGTGGGTCAGACCTTTAGGTCAAAGGCTCGAGGTGTGGCCGCTTAAGAAAACCACCTGCTTCGGTTTGAGCACCTGGCCAGTATCACATCCCTCACACATATCAAGTGAGATCTGTGTGACGCATATGTATTTGGTGCCCTCTTGTACCAATATCTATGTGTTCAAATAAACAAAATAAATAACAATATTGAAGATAGAAATATGCATATATACATAATATGAAATAAAATGTAGAGTAATTTTACCATCAATGAAACCACTCAAGTCTCGTCCATTACGATAAACCCATCCGTAGATATCTTCAAATTTGTTTACAGATCCATTTGGTAAATTATTGATAATAGCTTGTGTTAGTTCAAACAATTTGCCATATTCATGACATTTAGCATGAATAAATATATCACCACCTATGAAATTTATTAAAACAATAATAATAATAATCTGTCATCAATTCATTTAAGCTAATAACTGATTATCTGTTTGACCCTATATAAACTATCGTTCAACTGTATTAGCTAGTTACTAGTTGTAAGATACATTAAACTGTTATATACCTACTGAAACCATTCATTAAGCTTCATTTCATCATAATCTTCAATAACCTATTGGAGGTAAGAGATCAGAAACTTTCATCAAATCGATCATTACATAAGTCAGTTTTTTTAATACTTTATACATGAAAACAATAAGTAATATTTACTTACTTATACCTGTTACCCCCAAATGGAGTACAGACCGAATAAGTAATACGTTAAATGGATGATTAACCAGCTATGTTAGGTTATTAAATAATATAAAATGACTATCAGAAATACATTGAGGATAAAATTATCCATGTATATAGTAGTGAATAAATGATTGAGTTTAGTTATAGTATTGATTACTTGGTCTTATGCAATTTATAAAAGTTAAACTGTGTAAAATCTCATCAGTGTTGAAAGTATTATGTAATAGTCAGTCAGTAATAACGTAGAACTTCGTACATACATACACCAGTTTGGATTTCCATACCATATTAGTACACAGACACAATTGTCGATTCAAATCCCATAGTGGTAGAGATAGTAAAAGTATAAGCAGTAATTGTGAACATTAGAGTTTGAAGATGTTATTCAAGGAGTATAATCCAGTGAAATAAATTTGCAGAGAGAAAAAAGGGACAAGAAGAATGCAGAAGACTAGAATTTAGGAGAACACAAAGAGTGGATGCACCTGCGTCATTACAAACGATTTTGAATCATGTCATTCAAGGTTTCTGACCATCGGTTGCTATCGTCTCGTGCATCCCAACCAGATAGTATACACCTACCAATATTGCTCAGTCTACTTGTCTGTGACTTTATGGATTTGTTCCATGTTTTCGTCTGGCCACCTCTAGATTTCTCCCATCCTATTCATACACCATAAAACATCGCTCGTCGGAGCAGTCAGTGGTTGGGCATACGTAACACATGTCCCAGCCATCTCATCTGATGAAATTTCACTACTTCATCAATTGATTTGCCATCCTTACCTAGTAGAACCCGTTTCCTAACAACTGCATTACTTACTCGGTGGTACCACGATATACGAGCAATGCTCTGCAGAAACATATGGTCGAGTACTAGTAACATACGAATATCCTTTCACAGTCATAAAGTAGGACGGAACGAACTGCTGAGCAGTAAACCCGGACCTTAGCTAGTAGACGGCTATCTCGCCTACGCTATAAATGACCCAAGTTAATAAGAGCTAGTCGAGCTTTTTGTATCCGTGCTGAGATTTCATCACACAACAGACCACAAGGGCTGATGCAATAGAATGGCTGCTTAATAATCCTTTTAATCAATCTTAAAATTCCAAAGTTTTAAAATTGCATATAAATACCACCAGATGAAAATGATTTCCTGGAGTAAGCAGAGAATAATATTCAGAAAAAACTCCACGAACATGCTTAATCATTCGTTTGTCAGGTTATAAATTATTGTTTAAAATAAAAAAGCAAGTAAAAAACCGACAACTGAAGCTGAGTTTACCTGTTTTAGGTAATTTACCAAGATTTCCTGATCTTTCACGGTATTCGTAACCATGAATTCCTCTAGACTGAAAATTAGGGCTAATTTTTTGTAGAAATTCATGTCCAAAGCCAACACCGTATAGAATCTCATCTTCTTCACTTCTCGAGTCAGGTGGACAAATTGCATCAACATATTTCTAGAATGAATAAACAAATGTATGGATAATATATTTAAAGTGTAAAAAAAAACTTAAGTCATTGCTTCAAACATAATTAACGCAGAGCCTGGTACAAACATGCGTCGGTTCAAGTTTACATGCCATATCAGCACGAAAAGAGTGACTTAACAAGATGAATGAGAAAGAAATAAAATAATCTGTTTGTAATGATAACAAGAAAGGCTGAACATAAAGACTATGATACGAAAGGATATGAAGAAGAAGCTGAAGCTTGAAGAACTACCACACACATCATCGAAAAGGTACAAGTATTTATAAACAACTGTCTACGTAAGATACTCAATGCCCGTTGGCCGAAAATGAAATTGTGTTATAAAACCACAGACCCAATGAGAATGCTAACTTCATCTATTATTCCAACACCTAGAAGACGAACAATGCATCGAAAAAGTTGCTAACACTTCTTCATAAGTCCTTATCTGGGTTAAACCTCAAGACATTTTTCCAAAGTCTATATATGAAATTATAAGATCAGATAATTCCCTCTAACCTAACCACAAAGATTGGGTCGTATAAATGGACAATGTTATATATAATAATTAAGCATCTACCAACATAGATCGAAGTTAGACGAGACCACAGATTTACAATCAACATTTAATCACCGAAGATAGAAAAAACAGGAATTTACACATTAGAAGCCACTGAACAACGTATTTTGTTAGACTCTAGTTTGTAGTGCTTTAGAGATTAGGAAAAAAATGCTTTCTTAATTAAAAAATTAATCGTATATTGCTATTTCCGTTAATAAGACATTTATATGAATAAGTATGTTATGTGTCTGCAAATGTGTCATGACCCATGAAAATGCTAAAGAACATTTTTTAGAATATCTAACGAATCATATCTGAATACTTACAAAATTCATGGGTGCATATATCACTGTCATTAAATACAAACGTCAGAAACATGTGGAAAACATTACAATACCTTGATTTGTCCGATAGACTTCAAACATTCTTGCGGTGATGCCTGAGGATCCAAGTGAATGGTCAGATATAGAGCATGTGACTTAGTCTCACTAACAACCTATGTAAAATAAATGTTGACGAAATATGAAATTTACCGATCCTTGAGGGGCAATTCTGGTAGCGCACGCAGCGTGTACATATAGTCTTTTACTTAAAAGTTCTTTCTTTGAATAAACAGCATACGGAAGAAGGAAAGTCCCACCTACAAGTAAGCATTCAGTAATCGGTGTTTTTCTTGTTACACTGCGAATTCCTAAAATAGTTAGAGGTGAAATCGGGTAATCACTTGCCTTTAACGAGAAACGACATAAACTTCATGTCCTTGAGATTGTAAATGACTAGGGCGAATTTCAATCTTATCTGAGTAAGTAAAACACTTTCGGCAATTGATAACTTGTCTTAGGTCAGTAGAGGTTTGAATCTTTTCTGAAGAGAGATGTTCGCACAGTAGATTTTTAATATGAAATTACAGTCAATCCCAAAAGAATGGTTTTGGCTAAGTCATACAAATCCATCTCAGTTTGTTGATTCGCTTTGGCTACGCACAACCGTATCCACATGAAAGTGTAACGGTGAAGTATGATATAATATAAAGTTTTAGGAGCTGGTGACTTGTATAATTGCAATAACAGAGATTACCAAAAGCATATATATGAATAGATCAGTAGGAAGACAGTCCTTATATCTGTATGAACCAATTGGTCTCCCTGCAACACGCTTCTGGTTGTTTCTTTATGACCTCAGATTATTGATAATCCTTAATGGGTGCTAGTCTAGCCAATAAACTGCACTAATATAGGTAGTTATCGGCAGTTATTGTGTATCTTTTAATTTCAGAGAGCGTTGTTTGAATACGTCACCTTTTCCCATAAAAGACTGTTGGGAAGTCTCATGAACGAGCTTGTTGAATTATGGTCTACTATGATATTAGCACTGCTTTAATAATAGACCTAATCCTAAAATTGTAGATTTATCATGATGTAACTGCCTAATCTATAAGATCTTACGTGGAAGTTACATCATCGTCTACATCAACTCATTGCGTTGTAACAATTACCAATACGTGATAGAGAACAAGCTTAGGCTACGGAAAGAGTATATTTAATATAAATAAAAGATACAAGATAACATTCAGCTGGGACCACGCCTGCAAGACCGAGCTATGCCACCTGACCAACTCGTATTACTTCAATTGATTATTCCCGCCTTCTCTATTGTTGGGTATTTCCCAGAGTTAAATGTTGAGTGTCCATTTTCCATTTTGTCCCGAGCTAGGGCTCAATGCCACTACAAGCTCATCTGGAAGCGAATTCCAGCATTTTACTGCTCTTAAGGAACAGAAGTCCAGTCTTTAATCCGTTCTTCTGTGTTGTGTCTCCGATTTCTGGGCATTACCCCTTAACATTTTGTTTGGACCAAGCTTAAGTAAGTGTTTAAGACGATTCCAGAAAAATTAAGGGTTCTGTTACCCAATAGGTCGCCTCTAAAACCCCTGAACTCCAATGGGTAAGAGTTCAGTGATTGGAGGCACTCTTCATAATGCTTAAATCAGAGTCCCCGAACTGATTTCGTGACTCACCGTTGGCTACGCTCCAGAATGTCCTCAACCTTATGGACTAAGGGCGGAAACACTGTGATTCAGTACTCCAAATGAGGATGAATAAAAATGTTGAAGATTATTTGGAATGTTTTTCGTCAAACCGGACAAAAATGCGCTTCAATTTTGTCAGTGTAAGGTTTGCTCGAAAGGTACGATGCGTTCTGTTCTTTAAATGGTTTTGGAACCAGGATATAGGTGTTTCAGTAAGACCAGTCCTAAATTTTTGCTGAGAAGTATAAACGGTACGGTATCTGTGGCACTGGCGAAGTGGACGAATATTAGTTACCGGACAGCAAGCAGTGATACTGAAAACGGTTACCTCAATGCACCCATGTGTGGAGGACAGAAGATTTTGCTTGTTTCACGCACATTATGTTTGAGGATTAGGCAACGCTCATCAAAACTGAGGATATTTTCCCACGTTCAGTATCAAGACTCATGTTTTCAATGTTATGCTGGATTATCTATTCCGCCAAGATAACTTATAACATGCTTACTCAGACACTTACATCATTACCTAGCGGCTGGCATCAGATGAAAGGAAAAGAACAATAAGTGACATAGTTTTCTGGGTTCATTAACACATTACTTTCGTGATGCATTTCCAAGTATGATAGACAGCCTTACTCATCCTAACTTCAAATCCCCTTCTGTCATTTAAATCCATTCCATTTTGTTATGTATCACATTTCACTGTTATTTATTACTGTATTCTCTTATCTAAAGACTATAGACACATTTCACCCTATCAACAGTAGTTAGTATGAAATACACTTATCAGTTTATCATATTTTAATCTGTTCCGCTACAAACTTTTAAGCACGGCTAAGGGATTATATCCAAATGCCCTGCTTCTCCTTTGTTTCTCTTTATTCAACAATACTCAGTGAAGAGCATTGAAGCTCCATACGCCTTAAACAAACAAGCTCACAGGTCATAGGAAGCGCCGTTTAGTTTTAATTCATAACAACATAAACTCCTTAGAATGTAATGCACAAATACTTGTCACGAACAGCATTCCAACAAGAATGCCGAGCTTGAACCTGGTGTGCAACGTGGGCGCGATGCGATCATTATAAGTGTAGGAAACAAATTCCTACAGATTTAACTAAGCTATTCTCTAAACTGTCGAATACAGAGTCTTGCTTTAGCCAAAGTCAGAACAAGTAAGCTATTTGGCCTGATAAACTTTATCTGTTTCTAAAACATAAATTACACACCGTTAGTATACAAAATAAACAGTACAGTCTATTAACTTAGGGGAAACAGAGACATAATTAACATACCGAACAGTAATCAGAGAATAGGAAAAATGAGTCAGCAAAGCGAATATTGTTTTATAATGAACATAAAATTATGATTGGTGGATAAAAAAACTATAGTCATACAAGATCAGAGAAAGTTAACGTGGTGGTGAGCGTTTCACCTTATCATTGGTGCGTTCGTTTATCGATCACATTTTACACTCCCCCCGAAACGCGCACCACGTCCATTGTTCTGGGTCGTCGTCACCGTTAGATAGCCGGCTTCTTCCAGTAGACATAAGCTTCGTACGTCTCGAACAATTTCTTCATTTGCGGTTCTCAACTTCGCCGTATGAACTCGACCGTCAGGACCATAGCTTACTTGTTCAACAATTGCTTTAGGCCATAGACCTCTACTCGTTTCGACGCTACTAACAAGAACTGGGCCACCCGGTTTAAGTTTTCGTGTACGTTCAAGCATTTGTCTCTTGTTTGGAGAGTCGGTAAATATTCTCTCATCCATCTATTCCAGAATGCGGTAGCTAATCTTTGAGCTTCTTTCCATCTTTTATTATATAATAACGTCTTATCCATCGAAGCACCGTCGAATAATAATCCTTTATAAATCAACAACTTATTCCAAGTACGAGGCTCTAGGATGATGGGATCGTCTGTCATTTTAACTAGAGGTCTATTATTTAGTATCCTTCCTGCCTTGGTCAAGAACGTTTGTAGAGCTCCATCGATCAACACGTTTTGAAATAAAAGCACTCTTGGAATTCGTCTAATTGATCTTATGATGTGTCCCCGCACACCACCTCGATGACTTGTCCTAGGTGGGTTGAAACGCCATTCACAACCTCTTTCAAAAAGGATATTTGCTATCTTATTCTGATTGCAAGTACACTTGATCTGTCTAAGAATAGTATTGGTTCCTGTAAAGCTACCAGATGCACCCTTAGTCTTATTCACAACTCCTACAAGAGCGCCTTTCTGAACACCATCCTCGATACCACGGCGAATATGTGCTGTATGCTTCTTCAGAGTCTTAGTTACTGGTTTCTTTGTTACAGTGGCCTTCGGTCTTTTCGTAGTCTTGACTTTCAGTTTGGTGTGCGTCTCTTCCTTAGGCTTTCCTAGAGTTGATTTGGGTTTATTAGCACATAGTGCTTCACTTTTTGGCTTAAAAACCTTGTACTTGGTTAATAAAAAGGGGCAATGAACTTGACGAGAGACATTTTCGGAACGAGCATACTCCGCAACACCACATGCAGATTCTGAGGCATTGGCGTAGCAATGAGTCTGACTAGCCAGTGGTTTGTACGATTCTGGTGACGCAATGCGATCTTCAACAGATATCGATGAAGTACGACTAAATGAGTCTTTGAATTCAGTTGAATGCAATTGTTCAAACTTATCTTCTAATTCCTCCTTAGCCGAGAGGTAATTCAGTACACAGTTGCTTGCACGGGGTTCTCTGTAAGGGCCGAACAGCGTCCAACCCAATATAGTCCTCACAGCGTCCAACCCAATATAGTCCTCACAGCAGACGGTTCATCCGCCTTTCCGTTTCTTATCTCTCTCATCTCATGTATGCCCGGTGCATTGCACCCAATCAACAGTTTGACGTTCTCATCTTCTACTCTTGGAAAACTTATGTCTTTTAGATGGGGCCAGGATGCCATTTGATGCGCCGTTGATACAGTCCTGTAAACTGCCGGCAATTTGTTGACTGTCAATACTTTCTGGACCTTAACGGATGAAGAAAAATCCATCGAGTGCAACTCTATATCGACTTCTTTGAATACCAACGACGATTCGTCACTAAGAGTCTTTAAAGATACCGTTTTCGGTTTCCCCTCGAGGCCTAACTTATCAGCTAGATCACCAACTATGAGAGAGGTGTAAAACCCGCTATCTAGAAAGGCGCAAATCTGAATAATCTTCTCACCATTTTTTATCCACACAGGCACTACTGCAAATGCTACTGGTCTCTGTATACACTTAACGCCTTCCTCCGTACAAAGCTGAGTATTAATGTAGGCATCATCATTAGTATTTCTTTGTTCTTCCCGCTTCTCGTGTAACAGAGTATGAGATCTCCAGCCGCACCCTTCAACATCACACGACTTCGGTGATCGTCAATTTTTCGCTACATGGTTTGCCTTCAGACAAACATTACATAACTTGTGTCTAAGGACGAATTCTTTCCTTTCTCTAACATTCTTGTCTTGAAACTTTTGACATTGATCTAAAGAATGATTACTTGAGCACTCCAAACAGGACAAACTACGTAAGGCAACATTGTCATCACTAGTACTCACGTAAGATAACATTGCTGCATAGTAATCTCCACTAATTCTCCCTTTTAAAACACCAACATCTCTATTGTCACTATTACTACCGCGGTTGACAAGTAGGCCGTATCTAGTATTAGCTATATCAGCTTGTTCCTTTACAAACTCAACAAGATCGGCAAACACAGGCTCTCGACCTCCTCTGATAATCTTATAAGCTACCTTTAACCACTCTTGTTGAATGTGCGTTGGTAATTTCAGAACCATAGTTTCGATAGTTCTAGAAGAGTTCAAATCAGAAACGTAATTCATCTGTTCGAGAGTCAAACCACATGATTGCATTTCTCGAGACAGACTTCTCAAACCATCCGGTTGATTCCTTCTTATAATGGGAAAGTTTAGCAAGTTGTCGATAAACGTGCGTGCTATAACGTATTTTTGGCCAAACGTTTCCTCTAAAAGTTTTAGGGTTTGACGATAACCTATCTCTGGTTCTAGTATAGTACAATGAAGGATAGCGAATTTCGCTTCTCCGTCGCAATATTGAATCAAGTAATTTAGCTTAGCTCTAAATCCAATACTCTCATTCCCAATGCATTCTTCGAAATTTCTAATGAAATTCCAATA